AATACCGTTGGTTGATATATCCCCAAATAATGTTTTTAACTTGGCTAAAATTTGGCAAGAACTGTAGCCCTCTCCCCCAATAGTATAAGCATTCTACGGGCAGTTCCCCGTAACGACCGCCTTATTGCTTGCACTAGCAGGCTCTCTGATATTTCAGGGTCGTTGGCAAGACAATGAAGATCAAACCGCCATTCTTGATATGTGATATCTCCCTTTTGTGGTGAATCATGACCAGAAAAATAAGGTATCTTAGGTACGTGGGTAAATCTATGTAAATGGGCCTCATATTCCTCATCCTCAAACTCTCCTAAATATGGATCTTTTTGTGGACTAACCTTAGGAGTGCTAACTGCTTTCTCAGAAAGCGGGATAATAACATACCTCCCCGTCTCCCTTAAGGACTCAAGTCCTTTGTGGTTGAACATGTTTTCCAGCCATTTTAACTTGAAAAAAAATATTCACAAAATACAACTATATATATTTTAAGTTGTATAACCTATATATTGAAAACAAAGTTACGCATATATTCACATTTAACATCTATTTACAGCTGCCTAGTCAGCACTTTTCTGTCAGTGCTCTGTTACAACTCCATGTCAATATCGTACCCTTAGCGATAAATGGGTATATATCAACAAATAAACGTAGTTCGGACTCAAAACATGGCATATGCGGTATATCTACATGGTCTACACGTTACCTCCATCCACGCACCACGAACACATACCTACAACAATGACACTACCCTTACAACCACACAATTACATCTGTTTACAACTCAGTTCACACAAAATAACACAATATCTCTCGTAACGTCAACATGCCGAGGCAAAGTTTCACACGCGTACGGTACTGGTCCTGGGTTCCATGTTTCTCCGCTCCATCGCACTCTTTTTCCCTCCTTCGCAGAAGAGCTCCTTCCTATGTCCCCTTTCTGCAAACTGGTTCTATGGTATAGGCGTACTCCATCAAGAACAATTACGTTGGGCGCCATCTGTCGCCGGTTTCTCGGATATAGTAAAAGAATACAAAAATAGAAGATGTTGATCTAGACAAATTACTTAAAGAATTTGATTTAAATGAATTAACAGACAATCAAAAAGAAACACTAGAAGGAAATTTAACAGAAGAAGAGCTTGGAAAAGCTTTAAAAATATGAAAAACTGTAAATCGCCTAGAACAGATGACTTTCCTGCAGAATTAAAAAAAAAAAAAAAAAATATATTGAGATCACTAAACCAGGGATATACTAAAGGATCTTTTTCCACAAATCAAAGGCTAGGTATTAGTACATGTATTCCAAAAGCAGAAAAACCAAGACAATTTAAAAAAAAATGGAGGCCTATTACATTATTAAATACAATTTACAAATTAGCCTCAGCATGCATAGCCAACAGAATGAAATCAATTTTAGATTTTATAATTTCAGATACACAAACAGGTTTTTTAAAGGGTAGGTTTATTGGAGAGAATACTAGATTAATATATGACATAATCAATTATACAGAAAATAATGACATTCCTGGATTATTGATTTTAATAGATTTTGAACAGGCCTTCGACTCGGTATCATGGAAGTTTCTAGACAAAGTAATCATTTTTTTTAAATTTTGGACCGAGTATCAGACATTGGATCAATACACTATATAAAGACACTTCATCATCTATTATACAAAATGGTAGGTTATCAGAATTTTTCACTATAGAACGCGGCTGTCGTCAGGGCGACCCTGTTTCACCATATCTTTTTATCCTTGTGGCAGAAATATTGACAATTATGGTTAAAAACAATGCAAAAATTAAGGGTATCAAAGTATGAAAAAAAGAACACAAGCTCTCACAGTTTGCAGATGACACATCTCTTACTTGAAATGGTTCTAGGAAGTCTTTCAATGAGGCACTCAAAATGTTAGAATTATTTGCACAAATATCAGGTCTAAAGGTAAATAGTGACAAAACACAATTGATATGGATAGGAAGTAAAAAATTCAGTCAAGACGTCTACCACCATAGATGGAAATTAAAATGGGGGATTACAAAATTTAACCTTCTTGGAATAGATTATTCTGTCAACTTAGATGAAATGATTAACATTAACTATAACAAAGCTATATAAAATTTAGATAAATCATTCCTACAATGGTCTAAAAGAATGCTTACACCAATAGGTAGAATACCTGTTTTAAAAACATTAATACTTTCAAAAATGATTCATCTCTTTATGACTATACCGAATCCAGACGGAGCTTTTATTAAAACAAATTTATTTTGGAAAGAAGTCCTAAATACATGGATAAAAGTGTCAAAACTAAATAAAATAAGAACCAAAACTGACCTTCTTACCTCCCCTTTATGGTACAATTCTAACTTTAAGATAGGGAATCAATACATTTAGTTTGAAGACTGGCATAAATACAGTAGTTGACATAATGAAAGGAGATGGAGCATTTTTAAATTTTGAAGAATTCAAAGACAAGTTTTCTGTAATATCGAATAATTTCTTAAGTTACCAGAGTCTGTGTGCATCCATTACATTTGTGATTAAAAATGTAAGGTATATCTGAATAACAATACTATTGTAAGACCTTATTTACCTTTTCACACTCAAATTCTATTTAAAAGTAAAAAAGGCAGTGGAGATTTCTATGATGCACTTACAGATCTAGAGCAAAACAAACCCTATTTTCCAATATTTGAACTGGAATACAATTTATTTACTACCCTTTAAGACTACCAAAGATACAAAACTACAATGGTTCCAGTATAAAATTCAAAATCAAATTATACCAGTAACTAAATATTTGAAAAAGATTGGCATAACAAATAATGACAAGTGTAACCTATGCAAAAATAATGTAGAAGATTTAGGTAGCAGTATACAGTAGAGGGTTGTGGCCATGGGTGATATTTTTGTTAAATGGCTAACCCCTGTATAATGATATGTAAAAAAATATATAAAAATAAAACTGTACTAAAATTGGTATAAGCATGATGAAGTGGGCTATCTGAGCTTCACATTTGTAAAAAAGAAAGAAGATTTTTTTGGTTCGAGAATAAAATTTTGGCCATAGTCCGAAAGGGTGCGTACACATGAAAAGCTAGCTTTACAGGAGGTAAAATTTTGACAACAGCACACGACGCAAAATTGCAAAAAATCAAGTTTTACAACTTTACTGGGACCCAGATAATTCTGCAACCAGGTAGGTAATCTTTAATTTCAGACAGAGCTTAGGAAAAAAATTACTAGTTGCGGGGGTCAAATTTTGGGTTAAAAATAGCAATTTTTGGCATTTTTTGGTAATTTTTGATGTGGTAACCATGGTTTTCACACAAGTGACATACATAGAAAAAAGAGGTTTATACACTTCTCAGTACTTTATATGTATTGTAAATGTAATGCAGTTTACAAATATATATACATGTATACATGTGTTGTGTAGGGTAAATCCGCTGTACTTACATTTCCTCGACATGTGCCTTGTTTATCAGAGTCGGGCCATTTCTACTGTATACTGCTACCTCAGAACATATGTTTTGGGAACGTAATGAAGCTCAGGTCATTTGGACCAAACAAGAAGAATGGATAAAACAAAAAACAAGTAAAACAGTAGTTTTTGATTTGAAAATTATATTGTTTGGACATACAGTTAACATTGTTACATCACAACCTCTCAACTTTCTTATATTACTTACAAAATACTTTATTTTTTGTACATCAAAAGACAAGACAGAGTTAACTTCAACTTGTTAAAAGAATTTATTGCACAAAGATAAACAATCGAAAAAGTTGTTCACATAGAGTGGGAAAATGTATTTACATAAAAACAACAACATTAATAAATTACAACCTATCCATATGACATAAAGATGTAACTATTTTAAAATAAGATTTCTTACTTTCTTAGGTAGTAAAGCTTCCCCCTACATTTGTATAGCAGATTGTTTACAGGTTATAGGACTCTATATATATCCATATATGTTTATGCATCAAATACAATTGAAAACATACATAAAGAGTGAAGGAGTGTTACAATAAAAACACCTACATATATTTTATTTTAAATGGATTTACTTGTATACTATGTATACATAGAGAATAATACATGCCTTTTTCCATATCACAAATATTGTGCCGAAGGCCCTTGGGCTGTTATTGGTCGAGGGTTTATACCGGGTGTCATATGGGAAAAGGCATGCTTTATTCTGTTTATTACATACTTACTAATAAAAGCTACTATATAATGATATATTTTTCTTTTGAAATATTGAAAAACGAAAATTTCCAAAAGGGGTGTGATACGGGTTTTGCGGGCTGATACGGGTTTTGGGGTGTGATACGGCGGGGGCTGATAAGATTTGTAGGGTAGGATACGGCGAGGGCTGATATGGGTAAGAGCAATTGTGTCGTTTCGCATATACAAAAGCCCGTATTAATTAGTAAGTATGTAATAAATGTTTATACACATTTCATATCCTGATATTAAAAAAATAGCTGACTTATATACAATATATATCTATACAATTTTTTATACTTAGTTCGATTGAAGTTCACTTAAATAGCAATGTAGATAGAAATTATGATTAAGTCAGAATATATATATGGATATATATATTGCCTTGTAATAGTTTATGTCTTTGTGGTGTGACGTAAATGTATACAGTATGTGACGTTTAGTTATAAGTAATGTTTGGTAAAAAAAAAAGAAATCTCAGATACTGAACTCCAGAACTCATCCCAAGCAAGGAAAAAAATCAAAGATGTGACTCCTGTGATAGGATATGTTTACATGATATATGTATACTCATATGATATTTTACATGCTGTATCTGTGAAGACAATTTTTTTTTACAAAATACAAAAAAATACAAAAGAAAAACACAACTTGTCCGTGTTGGTGTTTTACTGAGCAATCGGTGACATCTACAATGCTATCTATGTATATATCTATATGTACCTTTTCTCTGCGTCTTATTCGTGCTTTTTATTCGAATCATTCCAGTTCTGCTAAAGACGCACAGCCAACTAAGCCGGATTCGTCATATAGAAAATGGTTTGTGTTGATGTCTGGATTTTTTATCATATTTTTGTGCACTGGATTTCCCTTCAATATGGCTGTCCTTAACCCTGAGCTTCTTCGCACATTTGAGAAAAGTAAGGCGGAAACTGCTTTGGTACAGTCGATAACGATTGGGGTGCTATATATAGCAGGTAAGCTTGTACATGTGTATGAATGTAAATATTTCGCAATAGACTTTATTTAACACTTTAAAAATAATCGTTGAAAGATAATTAAATATATTATTAATTTCAAGTTTACGGAATGAAATAGCATATGTTTAGTATATAACCTTTCAGCTTCTTTACCAGTCAACTCGCCCTAAAATGTTTGAAATAAGCCGCAGCTTATCGTCATTTTCAGTAACGAGTCTAAGGTTGATTTTCTAAACAATCCTTCTTTCATGGCAGTCATAAAAGCAAGAAACCATCAGTTGCGTATTTTCTAAATGTACGTGTAAAACCTTTTTAGACTGACAGGAAAAATGAGAATCCTAGAACGAAATGTTTATTTTTATTTTTACAGCAATATCTGTTAAATGCAATGAATCTGAGGTTTATTTTCAAGCTCGGCCTATTTTTCAAATCAATTTTCGAGATTTTAGGGTATCTTACCGACATATCAATTTAATTGTATTCTTTACTAAAAGAAAAATATATTCATACATTTTGTCTGATGATATTCCCTACATTTGCAATACCTTTGCAGAGTTGAATCATGGAGATAAATTGCTATTCGAAATAAACGAAAAACGAGGTAATTTTAAACGTTTATTTGTATATAGATATTTTGTTTTAAGCGTTAACTTAACTTTAATACATACAGGAGCCTTGTGCGGGAAGATTGTGGCCAAATATGGAGCTAGAGTGACAGGGATAACCGGAAGCATAGTTACGACGCTCGGTCTGGTTTTCTCTTTCTTTGCCGAAAGTATTCCTCATCTCATTGTAACCCTTGGAATAGTGTCAGGTACGACTGAAAGAATTTTTCTTCCATATAACATTAAATGGGATGAAAAATATCAATATCATCTGTAAACAATTATTCACATGTAAAATAAACAACGATGTATCAGACAATGTGTTATTAGTTGACGATAAATTCTGACAATCCAACATGTACGAATGCCCTAGGCAAACTACATATCGGTTTGATATTACCAATATAACATTCAAACCGACAACTGAAACTATATTTTTCAAGCGATTCCCTTAGTCTTCATCCCACGAAGAAGTCCGATTAGAAGAACAAATTGACATCTGATTGACTATGACTGACTAGGCACAATGTAGTTCTACTTTAAATACCTCGATGATCTGTTACAACCAAAAATATCAAAAGTAAGGACATTTTTTTCATGGGCCATAATCAATGCCTTGCAAATTACAACATGAAATTAAGTTTGAATTTGTTTTGTTTAGCATGACTGCTAAGCTAGACTGAGCTTTGAATATTTTGTAAAAATGTAGATTCCTATATGATTTTCATTTTCGTCAACAGGATTTGGTTTCTCTGCTACTTTCATCTCAGCATTTACAACAGTCGGAGAATACTTTGAAGGGAAATCTAAACTAATGGCGTTATCATTCCTCTCATTTGGATCAGGATGCGGTTCAATAGTAATTCCCTATCTCTTACACTTCCTTATAGAAGAGTTCGGTTGGAGAGGGTGTTTACTTATTTTCGGAGGACTTTTTGCAAATATGATATGTTTCTTTGCTGTTTGCAAACCACTGTCAATCGGCATTTCACAAAATACGTCAAAGAAATCAAAAGATTTTGACCCCGAATCGACTTCGAACGAGGACGGTTTTACGAAATCAATACGGTCATTGGTCACCAGTAAAGTTTATTTAACATACACAGTAGCCATGTGCTTCACACTTCCGGTCATAAACTCATTAATGGTTTTTATCATCGATTTCCTAACGACGAACGGATTTGAATCTGACACAAGGATACAATTGTATCTTTATTTACAACTTGGAAACGCATTGTGCAGATTTGTTCCCGGTTTATGTAAAAAGTATATTCCTCACACGAGCGTTCTTATTATTCCTGCGTGTTTTACAGTACTCGGATCAACAGCGATTGCGTTGCTTCCTCATGCAGACACGTATATACATTATATTATCCTCTTGGTCTGTTTGGGGATGGCATTAGGTGTTGGCGTCACAACCGTCCCCATGACAACCATGAAGCTCGTGGGGCTTCAGAAGTACTCTGCGGGACTAGGAGTACTAATGACGCTCATGGGCATCAGTAATTGCATTGCAGGACCCATTGCTGGTTAGTACGACTTGACCTCAATTTAATATAGTGTCATTGACTTATCGTGACATCAGGATGTAACGAGTTTTGTTTACTTGTCACATAAATAATTGTGTATGTTTCGTGCGCCAATAGCTTCACAAAAATACCAGCAGGACATCGCAAGATGGCACAAGCTGTTGTTTGCGAAAGAAGATTCTATTTGTTGTGGATATGTACGATCATATCAAATTCATAAATCCGACTGCACTTTTTATGCTTTATAAGCACCTATACGTTTTTGCGTAACTGTCGTTTTAATCTAGGATAAATGAAACCCATTTAAAATGTTTAAGTTTCAGAGTCACTCTACAATTAAAGTTGCATCGAAAATACTGGTTTATATTTGCAAATTAAATTTGAAATACAGTATAGGGAGTGACTGCTATGGATTCAATAATAAGTATTGTTATGCCTCGATGATATACATCACTCCATGAAATCATCAACAAAGTAGGCCTCATAAAATTAAAGTTGTACCATCACGTGAATGTGTCAGATAATCACAGTCCATAATGGCAATCTTTTGAATACCAAATTATTAAAAGACAGCTATTTGATAAATGTTCCCTTTCTTTATAGTAACATCCCTATTCCCTAGTGTACATTGTACTTGTCGCATGTAATTCGGCATTCAAAGGCTTGCTAAGAATTTTATCATTATTTCCTTGATATATGACAGACAATATTGTTACACGTTGATGAGGAAAAAGGACAAGTTTCGTAACCTATACCATAATATAATTGCGAATAGTGATATGTCTTTGTGTGACATGATCGATATTTTTATCGTGCTCATTGTTGTGCCTTGTTATAACGTTGTCGCTGCTGGAATCCCACTGTTTGGACGTAGCGTGGCTTTGATTAGGCCTGGGTTTTCATGGCGGTTATGTAAATTGTACGGAGGACGCTTGTCCTTTAAGGGCACCTGGTCATTTTCTCTTTATACTTTTCAAAGGGTTTCTTTGTTCATATTTTGCGTAGGTGTTATTGTTTTGTAAGTTCAAATAACGTTTTGTGTTAACATTTCCGTATTCTCTTCTTTTTACAGGACTGTTTGTTGATCTGACGGGATCCTACACGAAACCCTTTTACTGTATGTCTGGTGGTCTCGGATTCGCGACTGGCATGTTTTTACTAGCTTCTTGGCTAAAACGGAAATCTACAACAAATCATTCAGGTATTGAAATTAATACCAGCGTTATCGAGGTAAACGACAATCCCACATTTACTCCATAAAACCATGTTCGATTTATGAAGAACTACCGGTGTTGCTTAGTGGATTATGTCTGTGTTAGCTGCGATTTATAGCGTTATATGACTAGGAGCACTTGTAACTGGTTGATCATGTTTAAAATCCAGTGAATATTTTAAAGCTTGAGCATGCTCCTTATACTTAAACACACTAAGCATCTATCAATTGCAACGGTGCAAGTCTACATAACATAAAGGGAAAGAACGCGTTGGATATAATGAAGGAATCTCGGTGTTATTCTTCTTTGACGTGTCCATGTAAAATGTGTGATATAATAAGATGTGTACTATAATTAAGATGAAGGATACCACTGCTGTGAAGAAATGTTTGGACAAGAGAAATGATGTATAGTTTATCTTGTAGGAACCTTTACCTTATCTATTGTATATCATCAGTGATATCTGAAACCTTTTAAGTCTTGTATAAGACAAGGAAAATCCCAAAAGGTTGCTGAGAAATCGATGGTGCCCTCCGGAAGCAAATATCACACCGATAATTTTCTATGTTTGTATTTCACTCGCTGTTTTAGTTATGCACCTATATACTTAACAATAAAGGTCTATATATGTTATTTTGCAGAACACTAGGATATCGTTAATTATAAAACAACGTTATAATGGCTTGTGCTTCGTACGGCGGATATCAGTGAACAGTGACGAATTGTTTTAAACAGAAATGTTCCAACATTACATATCTCAATTATTCGTTTAATATCATTTAACATCTAAGAAGCATCATATGATATTAGAACGTTTGGTAGAAAAATGTTAACATTCTTAAATAAATACTTTATATGGTTGATATAGTTCCGGAGCAGATGTTGCTTCAAATTACTCATTTTGTCCTCGCCTCTCTCAATTTTTTTTTATTTTTTTTTGTAATCAATTTTGAATCCCCATGCGGTTTATAGCGTGATATGACTAGGAGCACTTGTAGTTGGTTGATCATGTTTAAAATCCAGGGCATATTTTAAAGCTTGAGCATGCTCCTTATACTTAAACGCACTAAACATCTATCAATTGCAACGGTGCAAGTCGACATAACGTAAAGCTAAAGAACGCATTTGATAAAATGAAGAAATCCCGGTGTTATTCTTCTTTTTCGTGTCCATGTAAAATGTGTGATATAATAATGTAAGATGTGTACTATATTTAAGATTAAGGATACCATTGATGTGGAAAAAAGTCCCATGCAGAGATTTTTGGACAAGAGAAATAATAAATAGTTTAACTTGAAGGAATTCTTAACCTTAATTACTTTTATCATCAGTGATATCGGAAACCTTTTAAGTCTGAAATAATCTCAAATTGTTTCTGAGGTATTGTTCGTGCCCTCCGGAAGCAAATATCATACCGATGATTTTGTATGTTTGTTTTGCTCTCACTGTTTTAGTTATGCACATACATGTATACGGATTAGCCTTGAACTACATACTCAACGATAAAGGTTTATATATGACACATTGTGGAACACGAGACTATCGTTTATCATAAAACGACGTTATCATGGCTTGTGCTTCGAAGAGCGAATATCAGTAAACTATGAGGAATAGTTTTTAAACAAAAATCATTCCAACATTACATATCCCAATTATTCGTTTAATACCAGTTAGCATTTAAGAAGCATCATATGATATTCGAAAGTTTGGTAGAAAAATGTTAACATTCTTAAATAAATACTTTATATTGTTGATAAAATACCGGAGCAGATGTTGCTTCAAATTACTCATTTTGTCCTCGCCTCTCTCCATGTTTTTTTAAATTTATTTTTTGCAATTTTGAATCCCCATCCCTGACTGAAGTTACCGGTGGAATAAGGTGAAATTCAATTCAGTAGTTTAGAAGATGTTAGGAATAGTGACGGACGGACGAACAGACGTCGCACCGTGGCAGAAGCTCACATAAGTCATTCACACTAGGCGAGCTTAAAATCACAAAGAAAACCAGTCATGCTAGGCACACTTTATAAGTGATTGTAAACAATATCTCAGCAAATAAGGCCATCGCGAAGGACCTTCTAGAAAGTACAAGCTTCCTTTGTATACAAGAGCACTGGCAATTTCACTTCCAACTCCATGCCGTTTATATCATGACTCGGACTGAGATAGAGAGTAAAACGTTTGTTCCCTGGATATATTGTACCAGGGTGGAAAAAACCAAATCAACACGCTGGTCTCTTCAAATGGTTGTTGCTTTATTAAAACATTTATAAATACCCTACAACAAAACAAAGACATACATTTATACTCTTGCACACTAAGTCAAGGGACATAACTCTCTCACATTACAGATTAACGAGTTAGAACTTTTACATTTCTTACCAGATGAGAAATATAGTAAATCTTTATAATTTACAACCACATTTATATATTTTAACATTACTTATATAGCACTGTTAAATACTTTGATCATATCAATACTATAAATTACAAGGATTGCATTAAAGGGGCATCACGGTGAAGTAACTTTATTTTTTGTCTATTTTTCAAATACTATATAAACATATCAAGTGAGACTCCTTATGGAAAATAACGATCGGATTTGGCTGAAATAGATTCATAAAAATGATTAAATCTAAGAAAATCATCGGTATTTCTACCTGTCTGACCAACGTTTTGTTCAGGGATTTCCCTCTACCAGCGCATGCGCATAGCACACCATTTCTTTGTAAACAAAATGACTGGCCGTGTGAAGTAAGCGAAAGAAAAGTGTTGTACCGTGTCAGCTACGAAACGAAAAGTTGCCAAATGGTCAAAAGATAGCGCAAGGAGTACGTTACGGAATCATTATTGCAGGTGGGCAGTATTCAAAGGAGAAAATAACTGCCGTAGCAGTTAGTACGGTGCATGTATTCTTCCGGATAGCCGGTTAAGCTGAAATGGAATCGACAGAAATGCTAGCGCTGTTTATGTTATGAATAAATATCTAAAACTATTAAGCTCGCTAGTATCTTTGTCTGAGTTTGAACACAGATGAACTTAGTTTAATATGTTAATGGGCATGTATTGGAGAGAGTTTACTTTGTGTTTCTATAATTATACAGTGGTTTATGCGAAAGGAAGGGATAAGTGACTGGTTAGTTTGATTTTTCCATGAGGCCCTCCAAGGGATAACTGTTGTGATGGCCCACGGCGTATTTTCTGGGTCACCGAGATACGTGTTATCGAAGTCCGTGGATTTACATAATTTATAATATTACCGGGTTCAATAAAATGGTATGATTTAATTATATTGCTGAATTAAACGATTATTTTTGTTTTTACATGCAAGATTTAAATTAGTACTAATATGAATACCCGGCCTCCTCTGCCCCGGCAACATATAAAAAAAATCAGAAAGGTTTGTCCCTTGGTGTAGGGAAGGTGTTTAGCCCCGTACCATCTGTACCGGCCACATTCCGGTACTAAATTCAATATATATTTAAATATATCTACTTTATGTTTATGCCTATTATCATTGTTGACATTTAATTGTAAATGTATGACGGGAGAAGGCTGTGATAAATTGTAAAAACTTGTGCCTCATCCCTTGTTTAATTTTATTGGCAACAAATTTATGTTTAAAGCTAAATAAATTTAAATTCTGAATATTGGCAAGTGTGCAATTAACTTCTAATGATGAATAATTACTGTTCAATAAGTTTGAATACGGACTTAGAAATCATATAACTTGGTTTCATAGTGCGGTAAGAAGTTGCAGTTGCCTAACGGCCCCTCTCTGGGGCCCCTTTGGAAACCGTTTCATCTCGCTCGCACTACTTGTGTTTACTGCCTAGTCAGGTGACGTTATCGGCGCTATTTTTAGCAGGGCTTTCCCGAACAATTCAAGTGGTCAAACTGGACATTTGGAACGGACTATGAATATGAGGATAGCGTGGTAACATAAGTGGAAATGCATACAATACATACATTCATTAAAACAAAAACGCCTTTTCACGTGATGTCCCTTTAAAGTTACCTTCCTTATTCATAAATATAAAATACACAGATCTACATATATATAGACTCTACTCTTTAATTCATAAACTCATCCTACATATGGTGTAGAGGTATATAAACAGGGTTCTCTTTGTTATGTAAGTTGTATCTCAATCTGATTTCAATCTGTTTCACATCTCAATTTCACTCATGATTCTAGATAAATAAAATACAAAACCTATTGAACACATTTATCAATGATAAAAATTGAAAATGTTATTTGGCAACTTTGTTGACGTACAGATTCTACACTCAACAATAACTTATCCTTGAGAACAATAGCATTACATTATATTTAAAAAAAATATACATTTACTTCATAGCAATTTATTGCTAAACATATATAATCCAAACAATAAAGTACTTTTACTTTTAAATTACTACAACGATAATGATATACTACTAAAATAAACTTACCACCCAATCCCCAATTTCTACTCCTGATGTGATCCTTCCTTGCTCTCTAAAATCCTAATATCTTCTGCCTAACAAAGAGCTAAGTACCTACAAAAAAGCATGTTGAACATTCCCTCTTTAGATGGTATCCAGCCAATCAGATCGTCTAAGTCAGGTTATATATGGTAAGAATGCGTTTTATAACATACCATACAGGTGAGTACAACTCACTGTGTGAAGCATATAGGTACTTACCTGGTATTTGGAGATATCTATCTATCTATCCAACTAATACTCGTACAAACTATCAATACAAATACAACACATTAATACCTTATTAGATAAATAAGCACATTCTGACCCATGTCAACAAATATAATGACATATTCAAAGAATGTCCTAATACATATTATAAAACAATAAAATATAAATAATACCCTGTCACAATATTATAAACATATCTTATCTATGAATGGAAAAATACATGTCTGTTGGTCAAGGTCATTTATCTGAATGAACTTGAAAGACCTTTATTTCCAAGAAGCTACATGCAAAATAGAAATACCTCGAGTCCTTTCCTCTTGAGAAGTTTGTTTTAAAGGTTTTGTTACTCATTCATTCAATTGGCAATCAAACATCACGGCTTCCTTTCTGAAGGTTATTGAGAAAATGGGTTCTTTTAAGGAGCACTGAAAGGCGAATGATAAACGACGGATGCCGATCCAAGACATGAACGCTCACAGGTTCTTCGCACAGCTAAAACTCCTTTCGTGTTAAATTCACACGTAAGCATTAGTATCAATTCGAGTTATGGTATGTTCTTATGTGCTGACGCTGACGTGGTTTTCTTGGCCTTATGGTGTTGATGCCTCAGTATATTTTTTGTTTATGACACTGTGACAATGTATAATACTGTGTTAACAATGAAAACGCTTTTGTCTATTTCACTTATTTCACATTTAAATGGGAAAACTTTAACATGTTTGACCACGTTATTAAGTTCAATAAGTGTTAAATGATGTGTATTGTGTTTGAATGTAAAACACGGTATTCCTATAAAGTTGTTATAAACTACAATGAACATATATTTTTGACTTCAAAGTTCTCGGTTCGCATTGCATGTTTTCCCGACGAAACAGTGTACACACAGCCAATGTGGGGAGTCACATGACCTCTTATAATTCAGTTCAAGCAAAAATTGCCTGAAAAATCTGCACCTCGACGGACAAATTTCAGGTTTTAAAATTCGAAATTCATTGATTTCACAGACATAGTGAAATCAATGCAAAGGCCTCGCCATATGTTTGAACGCGCACACTTTTGCCTCATAGGTGATCGCCTCGATACGGGTAGCCCACAAGGGACGTTACAAGTTCAACGCTGTCCTCTCCCCAACCCACCCTGACCCCACTTTCACCCTGTTCCCGCAACAACATAACGAAACAACGTTAAAACCTTCCACGAAATAACAAAAATACTTACTCGACCCGAAATAACAGTGAATATCGGTTTATCGAAGCGAAATAACGTTAATTAGCGTGGCAAAATATGCCGGAATCGCTAACAGCCATTTATTCATCACTTGCGTAAGCTTAGCCCACATCTATGAAATCACAAGTTCAACGCAGTCACTTGTGTAAGCTTTGCGTAGTTAAAATATTTTGCTGCGCAAAGATGTTGTTTAACGGCGCGAAAAGACTTAATTATCGTTGTTTTACTTTGAAATAACGAACTGACACATATGAGCCACCATAGACATCCATATATGTTATACATAGTCTGTGCTATGTTTTGCCGGATAAACGTAGCTGTAAGGTAACCTGCAGACATCTGGTAGAGCGCATATAATTGGATTTACAGTTTACCCTGACGAAAAAAGGTATGTTGTCATAAGTGAAAGTATTCTTTCATTATTATTGAAACAGACACACGAACAAAACTTAGTAAAAGATATCCGATGCTTAACTTTACAAGAAATTATCAGATCACGTAGCTGTGTATCACAGATCACTTAAATAATTTGTTTATATTCCTTGTCAGAATAAGACGTAATTATTTACTTTATATTTCTTTAGCTCAAAATCGCATAACCAGAACAAGATATGACCAAAGGAAAGATTCGTGGTGTAATATTTTTAAAAGAACAAAGAGAACAAGGCCATGTGTTCCCGAGGAGTAAGCATCTTCTATTTCATCGACGAAACTCGCGGTGTAATTACATGTCAAATCCAAGTAAAGTTACGTCTATATCTCGAGAACTTTGTAGTCGACAAGAAAACAATAAGGACACCTGTTAAAAATATAAAAAAAACATGTAGGCACTGCATTCCACTATGCGATACAGAGTTAATGTAAAATTACCTTTTCATTTCAACAAAACACTTCCCAGTTATCGTACAATTCCGCTTAGAATAAAAACAGTATGTAAATCAACTGAACTCCACGATAACCTGCTGAATGCATAATCACGAACTGCACAGTTTAAACCTAACATCGAGATGTACTTTCTACAAACATAAAAAAACGTCATATATTTCACAATGACACTAATACACAATGAAAAACATTTCACAGTCACGGTAAAACACTTTTTTTAAGTTTTTGTTTTCGATAACTGGGGTTAATCAAGAAGATAGTCAGCAGTTGGTTGTTGCTCTGGTTTCGTTGCATTTCTACTCCCAAACCACAGTTGCAGATTTCTTTCATTTTCATTTTTTTTTCATGATTTTTTTTAAGGTTTCTATTTGTAAATTATTTATTTCATGATGATTACCAATCCATTTCAGAAATGTTGGCATTGGATCGGAGATTCATATTTATCTTCATAAACGAACAGAATATCGTATACAGGAACTTTAACATTAAATTTTGATTCTCAATGGACAAGTATTTAGACAGAATCGTGTTCCACATACTCATTGCAATATAGAAATATGATATTACCATTTGATGATCACATGTATGTTGATATATTATTCATTCCTGGTTCCCACTGCATACCAATCCATTACCCCTTACCATATTTCAGTATTTGTTCTGTTGTACATTTTTGATAATGCAAAGACAGTTCATGAGTATGGTTAGTTAATCAGGGAACTGTAATGTAGTGTAGTACAAGAGAAACTATAATTAAACATGTATTTGAAATGAACCTATTGAAGCCATATTGACGTTGTAACAAGTAAAACAGCCAAAAAGGTCAAACATTCACATTTCCTCATCATTGCACAACTCCTTGCTTAAGATTATCTCTAATTTCCACTTTTAGTGCATATGAGTACTTTCATGCAGTGCATATAAGGTAGCAGTGTACAGTAGCGTACGGTGGCAATGGGTGATATTTAAACCCATGAGTTCTAACCCAAAATTTGACCCATGCAAGTAGTTTTGAATTTTTTTAAAACCTGCCTTAAATTGAATATTTGTGTTTTTTTGTTTTTTTATGTGTTTTCACAAATCCCAAATCTGGGAAAATCTCTTTTTGAAAAAACCCATCATTCTTCTAAAAGTATGCATTCAAAATGTAGTTTATAAATATAAATATAAGTGTGAAGGTGTGTTGTGCAGGAAAAAAAACATGTTTATCCTTTATTTTTAGGATCAAGCCATTTCTACTGTACTTTGCTTCCTTATACATATAGAAATTTTCTGAACAAATTGACTGTTTATGCTTGATTCACCTTCACTTTCATTCATTATTGGTTAAAACTACTCAAAAACGTATAAAAGTTAAATATATAGGTCAATATATATGTCAAAAGCGTATTACCTGTGGATGTATAACGGGGGGTTACTCGCCCTTTTCACAGGCACTTCACAATTCATCACATATGTGTCAATTGTGTTATTGGTATAGTTGATACCAAACAACAAATAATTCACAGTCTATCTCCTGATTATTTGGTGGATGTGTTCCGCACCATGGCTCATAGTTACAACCTCTTTTCACACATTATGATTATAATGTGGGCGTTTTTTTCTGGATCACTGTTCATGTGTCACGACTAAACCTGGGCCATTCAATTATTTCAAAACGTTCTCATTTACACAAATTTTAAGGAACACACTTAAATATGAAAAGTATATAAATTCTTTGGAATTGTTCTTCTAGTACAGTGTACCTGATACTTGCACATATAATGGCTAATACAAATGTAGATCCATTAATATATTAAATTACACGATATGCGTTTCTCTAAATAAAAGAAATAATACATCACACCTTGGTGAGTTGTGCAACATTTGCAATAATTTGTTTAACTAAGAATTTAATAATATTTTACTGAGGCTTGTTAGGTATATATCCCCCGAATAGTCTTTAGACAAAAGAATTGCCTAAGATGATAAAAACAAATCGTTAAAGCTGAATATATCAAAACAAAGTAGATGTATAATAACAAAATGCATTATATGTCGCAGTAACCGTTCGTTTTGTTTTGCTCAGTGTGTCGACTTACTTATTGTATACATAGGTGTTCAACCTTTTTTTCTGTCAGATTATCACTTCTCTATATCACAGAATGGATGCATAATTATAGATGGTATTTGTTTTATCACTATTTCCTCTAAATGCTTGTTAATGAATACATGATCTGTTAATTCGGAAAAATCATCCCAATTTATAACGGCTTTTTTACCACTTTTCTGTCTGTGTTTTGGAATAGTTTAGAAACGAATGTTATTCTTTTGATCTTGGTAATACTACGGAAGCAAGTACGAGAAAAAATGTTATGTCGTAATAACGACTTACTATATCGTAATAACGAATTAGCTATCTGTCAGATTATCACTTCTCTATATCACAGAATGGATGCATAATTATAGATGGTATTTGTTTTATCACTATTTCCTCTAAATGCTTGTTAATGAATACATGATCTGTTAATTCGGAAAAATCATCGCAATTTATAACGGCTTTTTTACCACTTTTCTGTCTGTGTTTTGGAATAGTTTAGAAACGAATGTTATTCTTTTGATCTTGGTAATACTACGGAAGCAAGTACGAGAAAAAATGTTATGTCGTAATAACGACTTACTATATCGTAATAACGAATTAGCTATCACGTAATAACGACTTACTATCTCTTAACAACGACTAACTATCTTCTAATAACGACTTTGCTATATCGTATAATAACGACTTACTATTTCGTAATAACGACTCAGTCATCTCGTAATAACGACTTACTATCTCGTAATAACGACTAACTATCTCGTAAATACGACGTACTGGCTTTCGTATATAAATGATGTACCTAAATAAATGAAATAGAAGTTTGGCACATTAACTGTTTCAATTTCTTTAATGACTTACTAAATGCATCTTAAATGCTTATTCACAGGGTATATAATAAAAAAAAAATTGCTTTCCAGATCTAAGTCCGTGCGAACCCGAAATAGAACATATCTCTTCCTAGCTGTTGTGAGAAGAATCAACCTACATTTGAAAAGTTAGTAAACATCATGAGTTCTCAGGGGTAAGTGACTCTGGTAAGGCAGCCTTTTTCCATTTTTTCCATGACCAAANTACTTAGAATCAAAATTAAAGATACTTCATAAGAAAAATACGTGTTTTACAAAAATACGCATAATATGAACACACAGTTTAACATGAACACACATACCCCATCTATGGAATGGAGGCTATCACAAACACAGGTTCTCTTATCCTATTCAGTATAAATCTCTAAAAAATAAAATTAACGAATTGTAACAATAGTAATATTCAAGTTTATCACAAGTTTCAGTGTAAGCACAATGAAATTTACTTTTAACCAAATAGACTTCATTTAATCATATAAATGCTTTTAAAATAAAAACTAGCACTATCAATAATTTAAATTAGACATACCTTTTCTTTAACAAATGGCTTCTCAAATATGCTATGAACAGCAGGCAAACAAACACCTGTTCCCTTGAAGGCTTTCTCTTGTACTGATTTTTTGGCGGCAAATACCCAGAATATTATCCCTACACTTATCACCCCAGGACCAATAAAATTACAACATACAGACACACCTACAAACTATCCAACAGAATTAACTTTATAAATAGACAATAAGGGCAAACAGGTTTTAGACAGGTGCACATGACCAACACTGGACAGAACTGGACAGAACCGGCACAGCACAACGACATTTACCATGTACAAGAACATATACTCACCTGGTCCGGGTTTTGCCTCAGGGTACATACAGGTGTTACAGGCGTCTATACACATAGCTAATATATATATATATATATACATATATATATATATGATATATAAAACCATGTGTGCATTACATAATAAACGAAATAAATAAAATTCAAAATACAGTCTACTACATACACATAATCAACATATATGTACATGAAAAGTTCATTTTTTCAGTCTTTTGAAAACAGTTAAAACATAAAATATAAATGTTAAACACGATATATAACACACAGAGTCCTTAAGATAATTCATAAGATGGACAATCCTTTGAATATATGTTTATAATTATAATTATAAGTCATAGCATAGTCTTTTAATTGTAAAGGAACTTTCTTTCATCTCGTTGACCGTCTTAAGGTCTTCCATTCACACTAGCATCAGTGTTTGTGTCTTTTATTTCTATTTCGTAATCAAATTTATCATCAGTTTCTTTCAACACATCTCGTGATTTACTGTGTTCGTTAGGTTCAGGTTTAGGTTCGGGTTCTGTCTGTTCTGTATTGCGTTATGTATCGCGTTCTGTCTGTTCTGTATTGCGTTCCGAAGATAGTTTGTTCATGTGCCTTTTGTTGTTTTTTCTTCAAAAATATCGAATTTCATACTATTTCCACATTTTTCTACAACTTTCACAGGCTCTGAAAAAAATGTTGCTACCACTTTATCAACTACTTTGTTTCCATTTTCTGATGCTCTGCGTTTATTATCATTAGATAACTTTCCTGAAGGTTTCCTCTCTGAATCGCAATGTCTGACAATGGTGAAACAGCTCACTCAAAATGTAATTTCTAAAACAATTTTGACAGTTTTCTCTACTGTTGTAGAATTACTTGGTAGTAACGACTGAAACCCGTCGTGGAGAATAGTCTACAAATACAAGAAGACAATCTCCTGAAAGTTGTCCAAGATAATCTACAGGATTAGGCTGCCACGGTCCGGATGGAAAGTCTGTACGACTCATCGGTTCTGGTTTTGAGGGTGTACTAGCTAGTTGATAACAACTTGTACAATAGCCATTTATTCCATGATTCATCTTTAACCACCACACCTTCATTCTCAACCTTTGGTTCATCAGAACAATACTCGAATGTCCTCCATGACCTAATTCTAGGATGCGGCTTTGCAGTGACCTCTGTATCACTACCCTGGATCTTCGCAGAACAATATTACATACACTACAAAATTCATCTGTCAATAAGAGGAAGTCCTTGTTTTCAAGTTAGTGCCATTTCCCTTTAAACAGACATTCCCTAATGTTTTGAAGATTTGTGTCATTTAGGGATTCCTCCTCAATCTCCTGTATTGTCATTGCTGTCGTTATACTCGTTTCCAGCGAAAAAATTTCATACCCCTCAGTTTAAGTAAGACTGAGTTGTATCCCTTGACCTTTTTGAAACAATCTTGATAGGGAGTCTGCTATATTATTAGGCCCAGCCACATTTCTCACTATTAAGGTATAGGTTGTAATCGCAATACCCATCGTTCAACGCGTGCACAGGTTTTAGATGAGTCTGTGAATATTTATTGAAGTGGTTTATGATGTGTTAACAACTAAACGTATATGCAATATATGTACATTGTACATAAGGAAACGTTCTCATGTCAATACTAAGGCGAGCGTCTCCTTTTCGGTTTGCGCGAATAGCGTCACTCCACACTAGTCAAACTATGATATCACATGTTGCTGATCATCTTATTCTTGTACAAAAACAGCTCTTAATCCTATCGGGCTATAATCAGCTATTTTTTGTGTTTTAGCACCAGTTTTAAAGTATGCTTAACATTAAAGTACTTTTAGGTTCTCTTTAATCTTTGGAATAGCCGATTCTTGTTCACTGTTCCACACAAAAGGTCCCTCCCTTCGAGTTAGTTTCCTTAAGGGTTCAATGAGTGTCGCAAGATTATGAATAAGACCGCCTGTGAACTATACCAAGCCAAGAAAATGCTTACTTCTGTTGCAGTTTCCGGTTGTCGAGCATTAAATATTGCCTCAACTTTGGTGTCTGATTACCCAATTCCTTTTGCTGACCAAAAGTAGCTCATCAATACAATTTAAGGAAGACTGAATTTGCATAGTTCAGGGTCAGGCATCTTTTCTGGAGTACAGATAATGCCATGTCTAATCTATCATCATCTTCCTCCTTTGATGAACCATGCACCACTATGTCGTCGAACATACTGTTCATACTTTCACATTTATCCAATACCAGTGTCAAAACACGGTAATACATTTCGGGTGCGCAGCTTTCTCCAAACATTAGACGTTTATATTGAAATACACCTTTGTGAGAGTGATAAATGCTGTTATTCCTCTTGGCTGATTCCTCTTTAACAACATGCGAATTCAATATGATGATACATGTCAATATCAAGTTTACTTAACATGTGGCTACCATTTAGTACTTTGACCACTTATTCGACCGTAGTGGTTTGATACCTTTCCCTAGCTATAACTCGATTTGCCTGCCTCATATCCACACATCAGCGTATATCTCCATTAGGTTTGGACACCATCACCACCGGGATATCAAGCTACTTCGTCCCCCAGCTGGCTCTTTAATATCCTTATCTTTTAATTCTTTTAATTTCTCTCCTGTTTCTACGTTTCCCAAGTGCCCTTACTGGCTATGTTTACAGTAGCACCTGAATCAATTATGAAGTCTGCAGAAACTCAACCAATTTCGACTTTCTTCATTGATTCTTCAGTAGGTACACCAAATGAACACTCGCTGTCTGTGTCAGAGTTACTTTGAACTTGTTTCACATGGCTCTTCGGGTTACCTCTCCTTTTCCGGAAAAAACATGACCAGTCTTACATTTTCGGTGCTTCTTGTCCTTGGCTGGACATTTCGAATCCCTTTTTATGTGACCCATGTTACCACAGGTATAACATTGCATCGAATTCCGACAACTAACACCATTTTTATGTGTACATTTAGTACTTTGTTTCACTTGGTCTTCTCTATCTTTTCATTGAAATTATTGCTCTTTGTGCACTTAAATTTCTCTATTCTAGAAATCCGCCTCAGATGTGACGAACTACATTTCTCGATAACTTGCTTGGTCACATATCATTTCTTCAACCCCATTTCCAAAAGTAAAAATGTCAAAAGTTTCTGATGCATCTTGAAAATTTAATCTAAGCTGTGACCGTCTAAATGACACATTAACCTAGAGGCGAAATGTTCATCTAAGATAGCTTTAATGACAGTATAAACATCTTGGTGTTTACCAGACTCTCTTTGTGCAAGAGTATAAACTATATCTTGTACTTTTTCTTCTGCACATTAAAGTAACACAGCTTTTTTAGGGCTGGTTTACTTAACTCTTTTCCTTTTGCGTTGAGGTCAAATGATCTTGTCCATTAACTCCATCGAAATTCTACCGTATTGATGTTATAAATCCGACTCTAAAGGCTGACAAATTGATTGCCTGAGCATTCCTGATTCCTTTGTGTTTATCCTCGTCGCCAATTTGAGGTGTTCAGAAATAGGTTGTTACTGAATGGAACACATTTAACCACATATGTACAAACATCACAATTGAAGGTCTCACATGGAACATCCGTTTATTCACACACAGTATGCTTTATAGATGGTTGTTTATCACTACTTTCATAGCTTTGAAAACTCTTTACTGAAAAGAAAACCATTCCTTGCTAAATTTTGATGAAAAAATGTATAAATAAATAACGATTGATTGCGTTATGATTGTAAAAATTCTGCTTGACCAGAACTGGATTCGAACCCTGAGATTTAAAATGTTATACAGTCTTTTTTTTTAACTGAGCTACCTACTCTAAGGAAGAATATCGGTTCAACTGGCTGCGCTACAGCAATACAAAAAAGAACGGTACTTAACACAGTGGCCGGGATTTGCAAGTATTTTGTCTGCAGAAGGACAGGGATCCTTTTAGTGTTGTTGTTTGCCTTAGATATGAAAACAAACCAATATCGCAGTGTTAAGTATATGAGTTTGTTAACATCGAAGGTACACTTTCAGTGATTATTTGTACATTTGATTAAAACAACAAACATAACGGCATGGCACGGGCTTTTATATAGATATACATATATGTATCCCGGGTATATATGTAATTTATTACATAGATCATAAGAAAGTAGATATATCCGTATTTCATTAGTAAGTATGTAATAAATAGAATAAAAAATGGCTTTTTCCAGTACATAGATATACAATTAGCATATACATTAACCAATACAATTCTGGCTGCGTGAAAGGCAGGAGTGCTTACCATTAGACCAATCCGCCCATATTATAGTCAATACAGAATCGTAGAGATCCGTCCTTCTTTCTCAGTAAAACTACGTTAGATGAGAAAGGACTATTTTATTATAACTACACCTGCCTGTAACATGTCTATGACGTGTTGGCGCCCCTCTTCATACATTCCAGGAGGTATCCTCCTGTACGATTGCTTAATTGGTTTGCTTTCCTCTAACTTTATCTTATGTTTCCCTTTATTAGCCCTTCCTAAATCCAATGATCCCTTAGCAATAATTTATGCCAATGACTCCCAATGACTAATTTTGCCTCAGCCTGTATCGAAGTTAAGTTTTCCTCCTCTAACTGAACACCTTAATCCTTAAAACAATCTTAGAGTGTCCACCTATTTCAGATGCTAAATTATCCTCTATTTACACAGCCTGAATGACACTTCATTTCCCTTTTGGTTTTAGTATTATAGGTTTGTAAATGTTATTTTCCATATCTGAACTGGAACCCTTGCTTCATTTGCATTCTGATTCACCAATTTAGGACATACCACAAAACCTGCACCCTCGGCTAAACTTTCTGTTACCCCTTCGCTAATCCGTCAACAATTGCAGACTCATATGGAGCAATATGTATTTCTTTCTTGGATAAAGTCTGTCCTGTTGCAGTATTACAGGCAATAATTTCTGTAGCCATCTGCCATGCTTCTGGTATAAGTAAGCTAATATCATCATTAGAAAAGCATGGTACAGTTTAAACACACTCAATGTAACCCATATATCCCAGGCTAGAACTATCTGCGATTGATACCTCCAAGCCTAAATCATCTAAACTCAATAGCTCAGGTTTATCCTCTAAATTAAGGTAGCCAAACTGATATGGTTGTCACCATAGATCCACTATCCGCTAACGCCTTCATCTCACAGTTATTGATACTCACTATGCTTTCATTTGCCACACTTACCATTCGAATAAGAAAATGTTGGCTTTGTCCTTGTACATTACAGGTCCCAGCTTGGCCAGCAGCAGCGACCTTTACGCGTTTGGGCTGTACATACCTTGACCCTGTCAAAGAACTCCATTTTGACCATGTCTTTGACCTTGACATATCTGCTAACTTTGACCTATCTGTTTCCCCTGCCTCTCTGACCTTTGTTATTGTCACCAGCCTTCTGGTTACCTGACTTTTGACCATCCAGTCTTTTCAAAATACTATCCAATTTATCATCAAACTTTTTCTCTAAACATGCCGAGGCAAAGTTTCACACGCGTACGGTACTGGTCCTGGGTTCCATGTTTGTCCGCTCCGTTACACTCTTATTCCCTCCTTCTGAGAAGAGCTCCTTCCTATATCCAGTTTCTGCAAACTGGTTATATTGTATAGGTGTACTCCATCAAGAGCGATACCAGGTCTTCCTTTCCAAAATTACGTTGGGCGCCATCTGTCGCCGGATTCTCGGATATAGTAAAAGAATATAAAAATACGCAACTTGTCCGTGTTGGTTGGTGAGCAATCGGTGACATATGCAAAGCTATCTATGTATATATCTATATGTACTTTTTCTCTGCGTCTTATTCGTGCTTTTTATTCGAATCATTCCAGTTCTACTAAAGACGCACAGCCAACTAAGCCGGATTCGTCATATCGAAAATGGTTTGTGTTGATGTCTGGATTTTTTATCATGATTTTGTGCACTGGATTTCCCTTCAATATGGCTGTCCTTAACCCTGAGCTCCTTCGCACATTTGAGAAAAGTAAGGCGGAAACTGCTATGGTACAGTCGATAACGATTGGGGTGCTATATACAGCAGGTAAGCTTGCACATTGGTATGAATGTAGATATTTCGCAATCGTCTTTATTTAACACTTTTAAAACTAATCATTGAAAGATAATTTAAATATATTATTAATTTCAAGCTTACAGAATGGAATAGCATATGTTTAGTGTATAACCTTACAGCCTCTTTACCAGTCAACTCGTTCTGAAATTTCTGAAATAAGCCGCAGCTTATCATCATTTTCAGTAACGAGTCAAATGTTGATTTTCTAAATAATCCTTCTTTCATGGCAGTCATAAAAGCGAGAAATCAGCAATTGCGTATTTTCTAAATGTACGTGTAAAACCTTTTTAGACCAACACGGAAAATGAGAATCCTAGAATAAAATGCTTATTTTTACAGCCAACTTATCTGATAAATGCAATGAATCTGAGGTTTATTTTTAAGCTCGGCCTATTTTTCAAATCAATTTTCGAGATTTTAGGCTATCCTACCGACATGTCAATTTAATTGTATTCTTTACTAAAAAAAACGTGATATTCATACATTTTGTCTGATGATGTTCCATACGTTTTCAATACCTTTGCAGAGTTGAATCATGGAGGTAAATTGATATTCGAAATAAACGAATAACGAGGTAATTTTAAACGTTTATTTGTATATTAATATTTTATTTTAAGCGTTAACTTAACTTTAATACATACAGGAGCCTTGTGCGGGAGGATTGTTTCTAAATATGGAGCTAGAGTGACAGGGATAGCCGGAAGCATAGTTACGACGCTCGGTCTGGTTGTCTCTTTCTTTGCCGAAAGTATTCCTCATCTCATTGTTACCCTTGGATTAGTTTCAGGTACGACCGAAAGACTTTTACTTCCATATTAAACTTTAAATGGGATGAAAAATATCAATATCATCTGTAAACAATTATTCACATGTAAAATAAACAACGATGTATCAGACAAAGTGTTATGAATTGACGATAAATTCTGACTATCCGACATGTACGACTGTCCTAGGCAAGCTACTTATCGGTTTCATATTCCCAATATAACATTCAAACTGACAACTGAAACCATATTTTTCAAGCGATTCCCTTAGTCTTCATCCCACGAAGAAGTCCGATTAGAAGAACAAGTTGGCATTTGATTGACTAGGGCTGACTAGGCAAAATGTATTTCTACTTTGTCTAAATACCGCGATGATCTGTTACAACCAAATATATCAAAAGGAAGGAAATATCTTTCATGGGCCAAAATCAATGACTTTGCAAATTACAACATGAAATTAAGTTTAAATTTGTTTTGTTTAGCATGACTGCTAAGCTATACTAAGCTTTGAATATTTTGTAAAAATGTAGATTCCTATATGATTTTCATTTTCGTCAACAGGATTTGGTTTCTCTGCTACTTTCATCTCAGCATTTACAACAGTCGGAGAATACTTTGAAGGGAAATCTAAACTAATGGCGTTATCATTCCTCTCATTTGGATCAGGATGCGGTTCAATAATAATTCCCTATCTCTTACACTTCCTTATAGAAGAGTTCGGTTGGAGAGGTTGTCTACTTATTTTCGGAGGACTTTTTGCAAATATGATATGTTTCTTTGCTGTTTGCAAACCACTGTCAATCGGCATTTCACAAAATACGTCAAAGAAATCAAAAGATTTTGACCCCGAATCGACTTCGAACGAGGACGGTTTTACGAAATCAATACGGTCATTGGTCACCAGTAAAGTTTATTTAACATACACAGTAGCCATGTGCTTCACACTTCCGGTCATAAACTCATTCATGGTTTTTATCATCGATTTCCTAACGACGAACGGATTTGAGTCTGACACAAGGATACAATTGTATCTTTATTTACAACTTGGGAACGCATTGTGCAGATTTGTTCCCGGTTTATGTAAAAAGTATATTCCTCACACGAGCGTTCTTATTATTCCTGCGTGTTTTACAGTAATCGGATCAACAGCGATTGCGTTGCTTCCTCATGCAAAAACGTATATACATTATATTATCCTCTTGGTCTGTTTGGGGATGGCGTTAGGTGTTGGCGTCACAACCTTCTCTATGACAACCATGAAGCTCGTGGGGCTTCAGAAGTACTCTGCGGGACTAGGAGTACTTATGACGCTCATGGGCATCAGTAATTGCTTTGCAGGACCCATTGCTGGTTAGTACGACTTGACCTCAATTTAATATATTGTCTCTGACTTATCGTGACATCAGGATGTAACGAGTTTTGTTTACTTGTCACATAAATAACTGTGTATGTTTCGTACGCCAATAGCTTTACAAAAATACCAGCAGGACATCGCACGATGGCACAAGCGGCTGTTTGCGAAAGAAGATTCTATTTGTTGTGAATATGTACGATCATATCAAATTCATCAATTCAACTGCATTTTTTTTTTTTGCTTTATAAGCACCTATACCTTTTTGCGTAACTGTCGTTTTAATCTAGGATTAATGAAACCCATTTAAAATGTTTCAGTTTCAGAGTCCCTCTACAATTATAGTTGCATCGAAAATACTGGTTTATATTTGCAAATTAAATTTGAAATACAGTATAGAGAGTGACTGCTATGGATTCAATAATAAGTATTGTCATGCCTCGATGATATACATCACTCCATGAAATCATCCACAAAGTAGGCCTCATAAAATTAAAGTTGTGCCATCATGTGAATATGTCAGATAATCACAGTCAATAATGGCCATCGTTTGAATCGAAAATTATTAAAAGACAGCTATTTGATAAATGTTCCCTTTTCTTTATAGTAACATCCCTATCTCCCTAGCGTACATTGTTTACATGTCGCATGTAATTCGGCATTCAAGGGCTTGCTAAGAATTTTATCATTATTTCCTTGATATATGACAGACAATATTGTTACACGTTGATGAGGAAAAAGGACAAGTTTAGTAACCTATACCATACTATAATTGCGAATAGAGATATGTCTTTGTGTGACATAATCGATATTTTTATCGTGGTCATTGTTGTGCCTTGTTTTCAAGTTGTCGCTGCTGGAATCCCACTGTTTGGACGTAGCGTGGCTTTCATTAGGCCTGGGTTTTCGTGGCGGTTTTGTTAATTGTACGGAGGACGCTTGTCCTTTAGGGGAGCCTGATCATATTATCTTTATACTTTTCAAATGGTTTCTTTGTTCATATTTTGCGTAGGTCTTATTGTTTTGTCAGTTCAAATAATGTTTGTGTTAACATTTCCGTATTCTCTTATTTTTACAGGACTGTTTGTTGATCTGACGGGATCCTACACAAAACCTTTTTACTGTATGTCTGGTGGTCTCGGATTCGCGACTGGCATGTTCTTACTAGCTTCTTGGCTTAAACGGAAATCTGCAACAAATCATTCAGATAATGAAATTAATACCAGCGTTATCGAGGTAAACGACAACCCACATTTACTCGATAAAACCCTGTTCGACTAATGAAGAACTACCGATGTTTCTTAGTTGATTATGTCTGTGTTAGCTGCGATTTATAGCGTTATATGACTTGGAGCACTTGTAACTGGTTGATCATGTTTAAACTCCAGTGAATGTTTTCAAGCTTGAGTATGCTCCTTATACTTAAACGCACTAAGCATCTATCAATTGCAACGGTGCAAGTCGACATAACATAAAGGGAAGGAACGCGTTTGATATAATGAAGGAACCCCGGTGTTATTCTTCTTTGACGTGTCCATGTAAAATGTGTGATATAATAAGATGTGCACTATAATTAAGATGAAGGATACTACTGCTTTGAAGAAATTTTTGGACAAGAGGAATGATATATATAGTTTATCTTGTAGGAATCCTTTACCTTATTNAGAAATGTTTGGACAAGAGGAATGATATATATAGTTTATCTTGTAGAAATCCTTTACCTTATCTATTTTATATCATCAGTGATATCTGAAACCTTTTAAGTCTTGTATAAGACGGTGAAAATCCCAAACGGTTTCTGAGACATCGATGGTGTCCTTCGGAAGCAAATATCAAACCGATAATTTTCTATGTTTGTATTTCTCTCGCTGTTTCAGTTATGCACCTATATACGAAACAATAAAGGTTTATATATGTTATTTTGCAGAACACTAGGATATCGTTAATTATAAAACAACGTTATAATGGCTTGTGCTTCGTACGGCGGATATCAGTGAACAGTGAAGAAGTTTGCTTATACAGAAATGTTCCAACATTTCATATCTCAATTATTCGTTTAATATCATTTAACATGTAAGAAACATCATATGATATTCGAACGTTTGGTAGAAAAATATTAACATTCTTAAATAAATACTTTATATGGTTGATATAGTTCCGGAGCAGATGTTGCTTCAAATTACTCATTTTGTCCTCGCCTCTTTCAATTTTTTATTGTTTCTTCCAATCAATTTTGAATCCCCATGCGGTTTATAGCGTGATATGACTAGGAGCACTTGTAGTTGGTTGATCATGTTTAAAATCCAGTGATTATTTTAAAGCATGAGCATGCCCCTTATACTTAAACGCACTAAGCATATATCAATTGCATCGGTGCAAGTCGACATATCGTAAAGCGAAAGAACGCGTTTGATAAAATGAAGAAATCCCGGTGTTATTCTTCTTTTACGTGTCCATGTAAAATGTTTGATATATGTAATATGTGTACTATATTTAAAATTTTAAAATGAAGGATACCACTGATGTGGAAAACAGTCTCATGCAGAGAATTTTGGACAAGAGAAATAATAAATAGTTTAACTTGAAGGAATATTTAACCTTAATTACTTTTATCATCAGTGATATTGGAAACCTTTTAAGTCTGAAATAATCTCAAATTGTTTCTGAGGTATTGTTCGTGCCCTCCGGAAGCAAATATCATACCGATGATTTTATATGTTTGTTTTGCTCTCGCTGTTTTAGTTATGAACATACATGTATACGGATTAGCCTTGAACTACATACTCAACGATAAAGGTTTATATATGATACCTTGTGGAACACGAGACTATCGTTTATCATAAAACGACGTTATCATGACTTGTGCTTCGAAGAGCGAATATCAGTAAACTATGACGAATAGTTTTTAAACAAAAATCATTCCAACATTACATATCACAATTATTCGTTTAATACCATTGAACATGTAAGAATCATCATATGATATTCGAACGTTTGGAAGAAAAATGTTAACATTCTTAAATAAATACTTTATATGGTTGATATAATACCGGAGCAGATGTTGCTTCAAATTACTCATTTTGTCCTCGCCTCTCTCTATGGTTTTTTTAATTTATTTTTTGCAATTTTGAATTCCCATCCCCGACTGAAGTTATCGGTGGAATAAGGCGCAACTCAATTCAGTAGTTTAGAAGATGTTAGGAATAGTTACGGACGAACAGACGTCGGAACGTGGCAGAAGCTCATATAATTCATTCCCACTAGGCGAGCATAAAATCTCAAAGAAAACCAGGCATGCTAGGCACACTTTATAAGTGATTGTAAACAATATCTCTACAAAGTACAAGCTGCCTTTGTATACAAGAGCACTGGCAATTTCACTTCCAACTCCATGCCGTATATATCATGACTCGGACTGAGATAGAAAGTAGAACGTTTGTTCCCTGGATATATTGTAACAGGGTGGAAAAAACCAAATCAACACGCTGGTCTCTTCAAATGGTTGTTGCTTTATCAAAACATTTATAAATACCCTACAACAAAACAAAGACATACATGTATACTCCTGCACACTAGGTCAAGGAACATAACTCTCTCACATTACAGATTAACGAGTTAGCACTTTTACATTTCTTACCAGATGAGAAATATAGTAAATCTTTATAATTTACAACCACATTTATATATTTTAACATTACTTATATAGCACTATTAAATACTTTGATCATATCAACACTATAAATTACAAGGATTGCATTAAAGCTACTTTCCTTATTCATAAATATAAAATACACAGATCTACATATATATAGACTCTACTCTATAATTCATAAACTCATCCTACATATGGTGAAGAGGTATATAAATAGGGTTCTCTTTGTTATGTAAGTTGTATCTCAATCTGATTTCAATCTGTTTCATATCTCAATTTCACTCATGATTCTAGATAAATAAAATACAAAACCTATTCAACACATCTGTCAATGATAAAAATTGAAAATGCTATTTGGCAACTTTGTTGACGTACAGACTCTACACTCAACGATAGCTTATCCTTGAGAACAAAAACATTACATTATATTTAAGAAATATACATTTACTTCATAGCAATTTATTGCTAAACATATATAATCCAAACAATGAATTACTTACAATTACTACAACGATAATGATATACTACTAAAATAAACTTACCACCAAATCCCCAATTTCTACTCCTGATGTGATCCTTCCTTGCTCTCTAAAATCCTAATATCTTCTGCCTAACAAAGAGCTAAGTACCTACAAAAAGCATGTTGAACTTTCCCTCTTCAGATGGTATCCAGCCAATCAGATCGTCTAAGTCAGGTTATGTCAAAGGTCAAAGTATGAATCTTATTATGAACACACGAGCTTAAATATATTGTAAGAATGCATTGTCATAGCATACAGGTGAGTACAACTCACTGTGTGAAACACATAGGTACTTACCTGGTATTTGGAGATATATATCTATCTATCCAACTAATACTCATACAAACTATCAATACAAATACAACACATTAATTCCTTATTAGATAAATAAGCACATTCTGACCCATGTCAACAAATATAATGACATATTCAAAGAATGTCCTCATACATATTATAAAACAATAAAATATAAATAATACACTGTCACTATATTTTAAACATATCTTACCTATGAATGGAAAAATACATGGCTGTTGGTCAAGGTCATTTATCTTAATGAACTTGAAAGACCTTTATTTCCAAGAAGCTACATGCAAAATAGAAATACCCCGAGTTCTTTCCTCTTGAGAAGTGTTTTTTAAAGGTTTTGTTACTCATTCATTTAATTGGCAATCAAACATCACGGCTTCCTTTCTGAAGGTTATTGAGAAAATGGGTTCTTTTAAGGAGCACTAAAAGGCGAATGATAAACGACGGATGCCGAGTCAAGACATGAACGCTCACAGGTTCTTCGTGCAGCTAACACTCCTTTCGTGTTAAAATCACACGTTAGCATTAGTATCAATTCGAGTTATGGTATGTTCTTATGTGCTGACGCTGACGTGGTTTTTTAGGCCTTATGGTGTTGATGCCTCAGTATATTTTTTGTTTATGACGCTGTGACAATGTATAATACTGTTTTGACAATGAAAACGCTTTTGTCTATTTCACTTATTTCACATTTAAATGGGAAAACTTTAACATTTTCAACCACGTTATTTAAGTTCTATAAGTGTTATAATGATGTGTATTGTGTTCTGATTTTGGCGCGTGACTTACTGTAGCGCAATGAATGTAAAACACGGTCTTCCTTTAAAGTTGTTATAAACTACAATGAACATATATTTTTGACTTCAAAGTTCTCGATTCGCATTGCATGATTTCCCGCCCAAACAGTGTACAGACAGTCAATGTGGGGAGTCACATGACCTCTTATGATTTAGTTCAAGCAAAAATTGCCTGAAAAATCTGCACCTCGAGGGACATATTTGAGGTTTTGATATTCGAAATTCATTACTTTCACAAACATTGTTGCTTATCATGAAATACTACCAGTAAGGAACGTCAATCATCAATATGGGACTAATATCAGTGGCAATTTGGCATTCTATGTTTTAAGACATCAAATGGAAATGTTCGAACCGAGACAGGCTAAAATATGTGCACGAATGTTAGTGAAATCAATGCAAAGGCCTCGCCATATGTTTGAACGCGCACACTTTTGCCTCATCGGTGATCGCCTCGATACGGGTAGCCCACATCTGTGACGTTACAAGTTCAACGCTGTCACCTCCCCACCCTAACCCCCGACCCCACCTTTACCCTCTTCCCGCAACAACATAACCAAACAACGTTAAAACCTTCCACGAAATAACAAAAATACTTACTCGACCCCGACTAAACCCGACACGTAATGGAACTGATTGTTAATGACGTCACGAACGATAGCCTGTCCCCGAAACGGACAATAGTAATTCAACTTCACAATGAATGAGATATCAGGAATTTGTGGAGAACCCAGAGAAATGTGTTTAAGTTGTTGTTTCTGTAGTTTTAACTGAATTGAATTGAGATAACCATGTATTTTGAGATTTGCGGCGGTGTATCTTGATTATACTTTCTAATAAGGAGCTAGCTATTATCGACGCATACAGTAAGGTCATCCACTAAAGAAAATATTAAAGCTTAAGAAGCTGCAGAGACGGCTTGTATAAACCAGGTCAGAAAATGGTCGCAGTAAACATTATGGAGTAAAAAGGAATTAGTTGCGACTAATACACTTTCAGTGCTATTTTTAAACCATACGGAGTCCCTATTAACAAATGGCAGTAGTCTTGCAGGGAATATCGACGAAGTATCAACGAAACCTTAATTCGAATTAAAAATCGATAAAACCAGAACAAGTTATGACGAATGGAAAATGTATGTGGTGATATCTTAAAACGAACAAGGATAAAAAGACCAGGTGTTCCCGAGGAGTAAGCGTCTTCTGTTTCATCGACGACACTCGCGGTGCAAATCCATGTCAAATCCAAGTAAAGTTACGTCTATATCTCGAGAACTTTGTAGTCGACAACAAAACAATAAAGCACACCTGTTAAAAATATCAAAATGCATGTAGGCACTGCATTCCACTATGCGATATCGAGTTAACGCAAAATTACCTTTTCAATTCAACAAAACACTTCACAGTTATCGTACAATTCCGCTTAGAATAAAATCAATTGCGCTCCACAATAACCTGCTGGATGCATAATCACGAACTGCACAGCCTAAACCTGACATCGCGATGCACTTTCTTCATTCAATGGATGTGACTGTGCATAAAACATAAGAAACGTTTCATATTTCTCAATGACACTTATGAACAATTAATAAAATTTCACAATGAAGCCTGTCACGGTAAAACACGTCATTTATGAAAGTAACCAAAATCCTTTTTTTTATAATGTTTGTTTTCGACAAAACTGCATTGGGATTGAACCAGTAAAAAGTCAGCATTTGGTTGTTGTTCTGGTCTCGTTGCATTTTTACTCCCAGACCACAGTTGCAGGTTTTTTTTCATTTTCTTTCTTTTTTCAATATACCACCCTTTATTTATTCAATTACATGTTGTGTGTGTGAATGTGCACATTGCTTGCTTAAATATATAAAGGTGAACCTGAACGGTGCAACATGGAAGTTGATTTTTATGGTGAGGTTGCAACCTTCTTGCAGAGTGACCCAAACAAAAGACAATGGCCTAAAAGAGTACTGGTGAGTAATATTTATTTTTTAAGGATTAGTTATGTAATTTACCCTAACCCAACTGCTGATTTGTCCTAAAAAACAAACTTCTTTTATGTTTTAATTGATGTTTAAAATCAAGTATTTGTTACCTAATGTTGATAGGATAATGTCAAACTATTTTTGATTGTTACAAAATGGTCAATCAATTTAAACTTTATATAGAGATATAAGCCTTTTTCACAGTACAATGCAATAAGCTTCAATATTTCATTGATTTTGTAATCACACCTAATTTATTAATTATCACACTTTGCAAAATAATTGTAAGTAAAATCTTTTCACAATAGAGAGGACATGACATTTTAGGAATCTGCGACCAATTTTCAATTCATAGTATAGAGCATAGATAGGTATACAGTATCAATTAGAAAGATATACTAAAAGGGTAGTTATACATTTTATGGGGGGTAGATAGGCATTTTATGACTCGATAGGGTAAGGTAGCAGTGTACAGTAGAAATGGCCCGACTCTGATAAACAAGGCACATGTCGAGGAAATGTAAACACAGCGGATTTACCCTACACAACACATGTATACATGTATATATATTTGTAAACTGCATTACATTTACAATACATATAAAGTACTGAGAAGTGTATAAACCTCTTTTTTCTATGTATGTCACTTGTGTGAAAACCATGGTTACCACATCAAAAATTACCAAAAAATGCCAAAAA